ATATATATATATATATATATATATATATATATATATATATATATATATATATATATATATATATATATATATATATATATATATATATATATATATATATATATATATATATATATATATATATATATATATATATATATATATATATATATATATATATATATATATATATATATATATATATATATATATATATGCACTAATTGCCACCTGAAAAGGCCCTGATGAAATTATCAAATTTATGAAGATTGAAATGGAGAATTCTTGTTAAGACAATGGAATCATCCATACATTAGTCATTTACATGTACAGGGAGTCCCTAAAAACACTTTCCTGCTTACAAAAGGCCAGCATGATTTGGGCCAACTTGACCTCCAGAGAGAGAAGGTTCCAGTAGAGGGGTACTAGATCAGAAAAGGGAGATCTTATCGACTTTAAGCATTCTTTGGCTGATGGAACTTGAAGCATACTCCTCCTGGCTACCTGGATTAGATTGAAATAACTGGGAAGAGATGATCTCTCAAGTAACCTAGTTCTAATCCGTGAAGGGCTTTAAAGATGACACCAACACCTTTAATTGCACATGATAGCAGACTGGCAGTAAGTAATCAAATCCTAATACGACTTCTGGAAATATAAAGCTTATTACAAATAAGGATAATTTTAAATTCTTATAGTCTTATACATCCCAGTATTTCTCATGTGTTTAATCTATGGTCATCTAGCTTAAATAAGTATAAATTGTATTGGACTATAAAATGTAATTTTGTAGATTTTTCACTTCTTTTAAAAAAAATGTAATTCTATGCTTATACATTTGTTCTTTATTGTATTAATATGATGCTTTATTTCAACTTTTGTTTTCAAATGATTGTTGTATTATTTTATTGGTACTAGTCTACCACCAAAATAAAAGTAAACAAGAAATATCCAGTATAAATCCTCCCTTCCTCCTTTCGTTTCTCTTTTTATCTCTGTCATTATATTTATAGCTTCATTCCTTTCTGAGAAGTGTCTCATTCAACAACAGTGTTGGTGAAAAGATCTCTTTTGACAAAAATGGAGGATTCATTGGCGGATTTGATATTATTAACTGGATCACATTCCCAAACCAATCTTTTATTAGAGCCAAAGTTGGAAGAATAGACCCCACAGCTCTGCCTAATAAATTTTTCACTATCTCTGTGGATTCCATCACATGGCCAGTAGGATTCCCTCAGGTTAGATGTATGAATCTAGGTTTGTCTGCCTTCATTTATACAGCATAAAAATATCTCTCTATTGATAGAAAATTCATAGCATCATCTCTTGTTTAACCTCTATAGACATCCCTTGTGGAAAGAAAAGAAATCTGCATGAATGTATACATTTAAAATATTCGGTATAGAAACATTTGTCACAGTTTTCCTTATATGGATTATACCAATATTCTCAACATGGAGCTGCCCTTGAAGAGAGTTCAGAAGCTTTAACTACTGCAGAATGCAACAGAGCTTCTAGTAAATGACTAGTTTATTTGGCATATATCATTATTCTGTGAACGCAGTTGGTTGCCAGTCTCCTATCATGTGCAATTAAAGGTGCTGGTCTCATCTCTAAAGCCCTTCATGGCTTAGAACTAGGTTATTTGAAATATAATCTCTCCCCAGTTATTTCATTCAGGCAGGAGGAGTATGCTTCAAGTTCCATCAGCTAAAGAATGCTTAAAGTCTATAAAATCTCCCTTTTCTGCTCTAGTACCCTTTACTGGAACCTTCTCTCTCTGGAGGCCCAAATCATGCTGGCCTTTTGTAAGACTCTAAAACTCTGGTTCCATGCCCAGGCTTGGGGCTCTGACTGTGTGAAGGGAACTCTTACTTACTTGCATGAGTGATTTAGGTTTGATATTTCTTGGCTGCTTTGCATTTTAATAATGTTTATAATGCTTTAAATTCCTATATCAAAAGATTATTATTATTTATTTCTTGATAGGCACCACCTTTTTCTTTGTGTAATGATCCTTGTAAGGCAGGATACAGCAAGGTCAAGAAAGAAGGGGAGTCATTTTGCTGCTATGATTGTCTTCCATGTCCAGAGGGGAAAATATCAAAGGAGAAAGGTAAGGATGTTCAAAATATAATGGGGCTAAGCATACAGTACCTAATATAGTGGCACCAATTGCCATCTTAAATGTCCTGATGAAATTGTCAAATTTATGAAGATCAAAATTGACAATTTCAATGGACAATGACACTGTGTATAAGCCAGAATATATATTGGTATTTTTCCAGAATAAACATCTCTCTTTTGTTCTTTTTCAGACATAGATGACTGTTCTCTGTGCCCAGATGATCATTATCCAAACCCTGAAAGAAATATATGCCTTCCAAAGCAGATCAGCTTTTTATCCTATGAAGAACCCATGGGGATCAGTCTTAGTGTCCTTTCTCTTTGTTTTTGTTTTATGACAACTTCGGTGCTTACAATCTTTACTAAACATAAAGATACTCCCATTGTCAAAGCCAACAACCGGAATATCACCTACTCTCTCCTTGTTTCTCTTCTCCTCTCTTTCCTTTGTGTGTTTCTATTTATTGGGAGACCTAACAAAATTCTGTGTGTCCTTCGTCAACCAGCTTTTGGGCTCATCTTCTCTGTGGCAGTTTCTTGTGTATTGTCCAAAACCTTTGTTGTAGTTCTAGCATTTATGGCCACCAAACCTGGTTCCAAAATGAGGAAATGGGTAGGTGGAAGAATGGTCACTTTTATTCTTTTTTCCTGCTCCCTTATTCAAACCACTATTTGCATAGTATGGATAACATTTTTTCCACCATATCCAGATTTTGATGTGCACTCCATGCCTAAAGAAGTCATCATGGAGTGCAGTGAGGGATCAGTCATCATGTTCTATTGTGTTTTGGGTTTTATGGGCTTCCTGGCTATGATCAGCTTCTCTGCTGCTTTTCTAGCTAGGAAATTACCCGATAGTTTCAATGAAGCCAAATTCATCACCTTCAGCATGTTGGTCTTTTGCAGTGTTTGGCTTTGCTTTGTTCCAACTTATTTAAGCACAAGGGGAAAATATATGTTGGCTGTGGAGATCTTCTCCATGATTTCATCCAGTGCTGGCTTATTAGTGTGTATCTTTTTTCCCAAGTGTTTTATCATTGTGATGAGACCTGAACTTAACAATAAACATCAGTTAATGAAAAGAAAATTATAAATCATCTTTCTTTATATATGTGTCTGATAATTTTCCAAGTATACATTTAAGCCAGAGAGTATATGACACAGTAGAATGGGACAACTTGCCACAGCCAACATGCAACAGCCAACTCGTTACGGTCAACTCATTGCAGGACAGCTCACCATGGCCAACACACCATGGGACAACTTGCTGGTAGCCAATTCAACTATTTAATTGTTTAAAATAATTAACATTTATTTAAATTTTTATCATTCTCTTTTCATTTTGTCCCTCCTTTCTTTAATGATTCTATTCCACTATTTCTTCGATATTAATATAATTCTTGTCCTGCAATGAGTTGTCCTACACTGAGTTGGCCACAGCAAGTTGGCTGTGACAAGTTGGCTGCAGTGAGTGGTCATAAACCCATTACATAGGACTACTGTTTTTCAGTCTCTGCCCTATGAGAAAAACCCTCCTCTCTATTATTTGGATGGCTCTGAAAAGCTTTTTCTCTTAGATATTTAATTTATTATGTATATTTATTACATGGTACTCTGTATTAAAGGCTAATAATGATTTATTCTATTGCTTGTGTTTGCATTATATTAAATTCCAATAAGACATGGTCACTTTCACCCAATGTTCTGGAAACTTCCACCCTCTCTATCATTTCTTCTCTCTTAGTAAGAATTAGCTCCATTATAGCAGTTCCCTCCTTTACCTTTTGGATGAGAAAGCTTCTCATTCTTCACAGCTTCTGGAAACAGATTGTTCAACTGATTAATTGTTCTAACTGTCAGGAAATTTCTCCTTAGTTCTAGGTTGCTTCTCTCTTTGGTTAGCTTCCATCTGTTGCTTCTTGTCCTGCCTTCAGGTGCTTTGGAGAATAGCTTGACTCCCTCTTCTTTGTGACAGTCCCTGAGATATTGAAACACTGCTATCATGTCACCCCCTCATCCTTCTCTTCATTAAACTAGACATACCCAATTCCAGCAGCCTTTCCTTATATGTTTTAGCCTCCAATCCCTTAATCATCTTTGTTGTTCTTCTCTGTACTTTTTCTAGAGTCTCAACATCTTTTTTACATTGTGGTGACCAAAACTGGATGCAATATTCCAAGTGTGGCCTTACCAAGGCATTGTAAAGTGGTATTAACACTTCATGTGATCTTGATTCTATCCCTCTGTTAATGCAGCCTAGCATTGTGTTGGCTTTTTTAGCAGCTACAGCACACTGCTGACTCATATTTAAGTGATTGTCCACTAGGACTCCAAGATCCCTCTCTACTACTCTACTACTACAGTTATCTCCCACTTGATGCAGAGTTTGTCTCCCAGTTGATGTCAGGGTAATTAAAGTCACCTTTTGCTAGTGTGGTATATTTCCTACATAGTTTGGTTAACTGATTAGCAAAATTAAATTATCTTTATTTGGCTATAATTTCTTTTTTAAAGTATGACCTTAAACCCAAGAATACACTAAGACAGAAGCTTGTCCACCCCAAGGATAAAACACCCAGACACAAACTGAGCAACGTGGTATATGCAGTTCAATGCAGTGAGCCATGTTCAGATCTATACATAGGGGAAACAAAACAACCACTTCATAAATACATAGCATAACATAGGAGTACAAACCAATCAGGACAAGATTCAGCAGTCCATTTGCATTTAAAAAGAAAAGGCTACTCTTTTGAAGATAGCAAAGTTCACATTTTGGACAGAGAGGATTGTTGGTTTGAAAGAGGGGTCAAAGAGGCCATCTGTGCCAAAATTGAACAGTCCTCTGTCAATAGAGTAGGAGGAATACGACATCATCTATCTCCAGTCTACAACAGAATTCTTTCAGCAGTTCTAAGAATGCTCCAGACCCATTTGCACCACTCAGGTGACCTTGAGGACACAGAAAAACCTCCAAGTGGCCTCAACAATTCTCTCAAAGAATGCAAATGACTAACTGTCTGCAAGGAATATAAATCCTTCCATTCCCCATCATCCAGTCAGAGCTGAGGAAGTGTCTTGGATGAGAAGCAAAATGCCTTCAAAGAAAAACAAAAAAGTCCAGTTGCCTCTTGAAAAAGCACCTTTGGGACAACCATGACCTGGATGACTAAGAATCTCCAAAGACCTTTCTATTTGTATTTTATCCTATAATGAACTTTAGTAGATTTTTTTAAAAAATATATATAATTCACACTAAATCATTTATCAGATTATTTGAACTCATACTAATCATGATTCACCTTTATCAAATTAACAAAGATCACACATTCTATTACTTAATTTTTTCTATCTGTGCTTTTATCTAAGCATGTATATATTAAAAATATTTCCCCCACTTTTTATAGATCATTCTCTGCCATTCTAAAGCAGACGTGAGAAATTTCTTTTCATATTAATAATTTCCAAAGATAGATATCCAAAGAGATAGATATCATTATTTTCTCTATAATTATCAAATTAACTATGATTCCCACTACATTGTCTCCAGATTTCTGGTGTCAAGTTGAGTCTATTATTTACTACAACAATTAAACCTGGGTCTGAATGCTCTGTCAGTTTCACTACTGACAAAGAAGACAGCAGCATTCTGTTTTCAACCAAGCTTTCAAGACATTGTATTTGGTGATGCTCAAACTACACTTTTTCCAGTCCAATTCTATTTGAACATCATCCTTCAAATGAACTTCAAAATGAAGTGATGTAAGCTTTTCTTTTATTCTGTGAAATGAATTCTACTCCAACAGTCATTCACACAATATGAGGTAATTTACTTCAAACTGTCAGAATATATTACGTTCACATGTGCCTTCATCTTCATTAACAGATCTACTTTTTCTTATTTGGTTAGTTACTTAGTTCATTCTTATTCACTTAATCATTACATATTTCTGGCTGCCCAACCCACAGTATGACTTTTTATTATTAACAAATGTCAGGTGACTAAGGAATATGCTAATCTTGGAATAATCAATGAACAAATGTGATCAACAACTATGTCTATTATAATTCATTCTTCCTGGGCAAAAGATACTTAGCTGTCTGTAATAGTCACTGTAATGTAAAGATCCCATAGTCAGAAGTCATTTTTTTCACTGACTTCAAGCTACAAAAACAGTTGCTGGAGTTTAAGCAAAAATCATTCTTTTGAAGTTACTTTGGGGAACATGAACCCATCTATACCACAGGTGTCAAACTAGCAATTGCAGCATCCTAGGGTCATGCAACCATCATTTGTGATCTTCCTAGCTGACCTCTGACAAACAAATTAAATGGGAGAAATTGGAATGGCTTAATAACATATGATTCACTTAATGACCACTGCAAGAAAGGTCATAAGCATGGGAGTGATTCACTTAATCACCACATCACTTAGCTATAGAAGTTCTGATCCCAACAGGGATTGTAAGTGCAGGACTGACTACCTGTATGTTAATAGGATTAAATAAAGTTAATTAAATAATAATTACATAATAGTTAATTAGATTAGTTAATAGTTAATTAGATTAATAGTTAGTTAAGTAATGCCTATATTTTCTTCTTTTAGGTGATGGAAATGGAAGCCTCTTAATGTCTCTTTTACAAATTATCAAGATATCTCAAATCTTTCAGTATTCGTACCTAACTTTTAAAAGATTTATATATATAAATCTAATGCGATCTCACATTACTCCTAGAAGCACGAAGCTGAAAACACCAGCCTGAAGATGACGAATGGGACTTCGTCGAAACGTCGCCAACACACTTCCAATTTTACGTGGGAGAAAACCCGAATAACCAAAGACCTACACACACACACACACACACACACACACACATATATATATGTTTTTTGAGGTTTTCACGGGTGTTTATATGTGAGTCAAAATTGAACACTTCAACAACAGAATAATCAGGGAAGCCATTGAAATAGAAAAACGCCCACACAGCATGAATAAAAGAGATGATACCTCCCGCCTACCAGCCATTTGGAAACCCGCCCTTATTAGCAAACGAGTCCCTAACACAAAAAATGACACCAGACCCACACTCACAAATACCACACATGATGTCACAACCATANGGATCACCCGGATCTCTGGGGGTAGTTCGTTCCAGAGGGTGGGAGCTCCCACCGAGAAGGCCCTCCCCCTGGGGGTCGCCAGCCGGCACTGTCTGGCTGACGGCACCCTGAGGAGACCCACTCTGTGGGAGCGTACCGGCCGATGGGAGGTAACCTGCGGCAGAAGGCGGTCTCGGAGATATCCAGGTCCGATGCCATGATTTTTACTCCATATCCTCAAAGTCACATGGTATGAACCATATTTTTTTTCTGGCTTAATGAGTGACATGAGCCACCACCAATCAATTTATCCACCATTGATATTTTATAACCCTGCAACAAATCTCTTTATCAATCATATATGGGAAATGAAAAAAATAATAATCTACCAGTCATAGGACTCCTTCCTCATTAATTGTGAAATTTGATTGCTGCTACAAATGTTGCTCCTTTTATCATATACAAAAACATAACTTGAATCAGTTTCTTTGTAGTAAAAAAATAAGGGTCACTTGAAAATATTTATTTTTACTTTGTCCTTTACCAGTACTTCTTTGACCACATGGACAAATAAATTTAAGAATATGATAATATACAAATACTAAAATAAGAAATTCACTTATTTATGAAATTTAAACCCATCCTTCCTTCCTTCCTTCCTTCCTTCCTTCCTTCCTTCCTTCCTTCCTTCCTTCCTTCCTTCCTCTAGGGCCCATCAAATACATCTTTCTAGGAAATAAGACCCATAGTATGCCACTTTTTTGAACTGATGATACCTTGCACTGAGAACACAGTGACGGCCAAAGGCAGCATCTTTTTGTCAATCATCACTGTCTGGAATGTACATCACAGAAAGAAGGCAAACCAGCAAAAAAAAAACAGTGCTACCCACATTGATCCTTTGAGTTTATATAGAAGGGTAAAATGTTTGTTGGTTTTGAAAGCCACTGGGATCTAAAGAGGAGGTAGCTGAGCTCATAGTCCTAAGGACT